GACAGTATAGTGTCCCCATCACTATACTGGGGCGTTAGGACCCACACAGACCACAGGGTGAGCACCCTCTGCTGGCCTCACTAACACCTCTTCAAACAGTAACCTAGTTTTCCCAGGAGGTCTCCCATCCAGGTACTGACCAGGCTCAACCCTGCTTCAGTGGGCAACCAGTCTTGGGCTACAGGGTGATACGGCTGTGGCTGTTAAGAACATAACGATAAGGCCCCGTGTGTCCACCAAAGCGTTTTTTCCCAGAGGCTAGCTTATTTTTTCAATTGTTTTCAATGGGAGCGCCGCGTTTTTTAAAACGCCAGGAGCGTGCCGAGCGCTGAGCATCTTTTTTTACGCTGAGCGCTCGGCGTTTTTTCTCAGCGCCGAGAGTTGAAGAATGTTCAATTTTGGGTAAAACGCAGCGCTCATCACTGTCACTTTTCAGTCAGCTGATCAATCACAGTGCAGGAGGGGCAGGACTACCGATCAACCTTCACACCCTGCTTGTACTACAACTGAACTAGTACAATAGAGAAGTTAATATTGTTTGTCTCCGAGTATTTATGTCTTTACCAGGTGGAATTGCCGGACTAACATATTATTGTTATGAAAAATAAGGTAAAAAAAATAATTTATTCGCGATGTGTCTGCCATATTACTTCAGCGGATATTCCGTATCATAGCAACCACATTGTCTCAACAAAAAAACTCACAGCTGGGTGTTTTCAGCAGAGCACCTGGCGTTTTCAGCTGGCTAAAAACACTTTGGTGGACGCGTGGCCTAAGAACAGCATTAGCATGGCGGCCACATCACGTACACGAGCATCTGACAGACGCACCGCAACACCATCATCAAATCAGCAGGACAGTAGTAGTACGGTAGTGGACAGTATGTAAAACCAATGCTTGGTCATAGCCTGGCTCAGCGGCCACATAAACCACATGAAATAAACGTCAGTGACTAGGCAACTACATAGTAGGAAAATGTAGATTGCCTTACTTTTGACAGTAGACCAATGTTTCTGCTTTTTATTCAGCTCAGCTACAGCGATCACTGGATGCTTTTGTCCATATTAAGGATTTCCTAGCATGTTATAAGTTATTAATTCTATGAGTCCGTTTTGGACTTTTGCA